GGAGGGAGATGGGGATGGGATGAGGATGAGGATGGAGATGGGGATGAGACGGGGATGAGGATGGAGACGGGGATGAGGATGGAGATGGGGATGAGGATGGAGAGGGGGATGGGGATGGAGATGGGGATGAGATGGGGACAGGGATAGAGGTGGTGATGGGGATTAATTTGGCAAAGGGGATGGGGATAGAGATACGGATGGCGATGAGATGGAGACAGGGATGGAGATGGAGATGGGGACAGGAATCGTGATGGTCCAGAGTGGGAATCTGTCTGGGTGGCTGCAGTGGGTGCTGTGGTGGGACGATCCCCTGCCAGGACGCAGGGTGAGGCACTGCTGGCCATGCACCAGGCACCCAGGCACATGTGGGGCTGCAAGCACACGGCACGGGGGGAGCCACAAACTCTCATTTGGATGCATGCAAGGCCTTCACGGCATGGAAAATATTAATTGTGGTTTTCTGGTTCACTTTTTGGTAATTTAGAAAGAAAGAAGAAAAAAAAAAAGGAGGAAGCCACGTACAGTCACTTTGCGCTGATCCCACCCCCTTTATCTCTCCTTCCATTCGCTCACCCTCGGTGAGAGAGAGAAAAGAGAAGCTGAGTCTCTCTCGCTGCCTAAATGTAGAAAGTTTTGCTTCTAAATCAGTTTGTGATGGAAAGGAAATACGTCACGTCCCTGGGGAAGTGGCTGGGGTGCGCGAGCCACAACCCCAGGGCCGAGTGCTGCAATGGAACAGCCCAGCACTGAAATAGCTCCGCGCTCTGTTATTGTCACCGATAGAATTTTTTTTCTCTGTCTACGTGTGTCATTTTTAGCATCCAGAGGAAGTTTTATTTGTATTTGTTAGCTCGACTTTCCACTGTCGTGGCTTTTTTATTTTTTTCATCTGAAGGTCCAGGAAGGGGGCAGGAGAAAATAGAGTGGGGTGAGCTCAGGTGTGATGGGCTCGGTGGGGCACAGCGTGGTACCCACGGCGCCGCTGGCCTCTCTGCCTGTATCTGCCGGGCATCCTGGCATGCGTGCACCAGCCTTGAAATGCCACAGGCCCATGGGAACACACATTCCCGGGGATTTTGGGGGGCTACGGCAGCAAGCCGAGCCCCAGGCATGGCTGCGGGATGGAGCCATGTCCCTTTTCTCTCCCCAGGAGGTGGTTGTGGGGTGAGTTTGGATGCTTCCAGCCCTTTCCCAGAGTAAAGGCACCCGCTCAACGGGATGGCTGAGGAAGACGTGGGGTTTAAAAAAATCCTAGTGAGCTTGTGAAAATCAAATGTCCCCGGTGCGCAACGGCAGCTCCCAGCAGCACATGGAGGGGTGTTTCTTTCCAAAACTGGGCTGGAGGCCAGAGGAAGCCTGCGCTAAACACGATCCCTAAGTCACCAGGGTAATAATTACCTATTTTTAACGATTATTGAAATAATTAATGAGAGAAAGTCTCAGGCCCTGACTCAAGGGGAGGCAGCCCTGTGTCCCATCCCCTGATGGAGAACAGGAGGCATCTCCCCTCTGGTGGGACCACCCCAGGAAAATGCAACTTTAGGGGCAGGGGATATTAAGGAACAGAGACTGGGGGCCACCCCTCGCACCCTCCCGGCCTCGGTGGCACGTGGGGATGACAGGGGGACGACCCAGGAGCAAAGCGATGCCAGGCAGCAGCTCCCCTTCGCCCAGGTACTTGCACAAGAAGGGATTAGCAGGATCAGCTGATGATGATCTAAGCGCATAACTATATCAACCTGTGAATTAATTAATGATATCTCACACTCCATAATGGCTCTATCTGCAGATCTTATGCACTCCTCAAGCATTCAGTGAATTAAGCCTTGCTGCACCCCCCCGGGAAATAGGTCAAGATTGTTAATCCCCGTGTGCCGGTGGGGACGCAGCGCATGACGTGGGGATAAACAACGCTGCCCGTTTTGGGTGCCAACGCGGGAGATTTTCCAGGCAAGCAGGGGCACCGGCATCCCCAAAGGGACCAGGCTCTCTGGATCGGCCGCGGGGTGGGTGCTGGACACTGCTGGTGGGATGCTCCGATGCCTGGTGTTGAACTCCCAGCTCTCAGCCTTGTACTGCAGATAGACAAAACCCCCAGCCTGGGGGTCCCCAAACGTGCCCCAGTGCATGGACAGGGTTGGTGTGGGTGCTGGGTGCATGCACTGGGAGCTGGCTGCCCGCCTTTGCCAACAGCCGCGAGGTGCCGGATGCGA